AAGCGGCGTCACACATCACACATCGGAGTGGGATCCGTAATTGACTTCTTTACAGGTCTCATCTTGGATGCTGTAGTTCTTTCAAACCACTGCCTTGGATGCCAAACAGGGCCCAAACCTGGAGATGCAGCATACGAAAGCTGGCAGAAGCACCACATTTGCCAGAAAAACACAGACGCAAAATCGGGAAGCATGGAAGTGGAGGCAGGCTTGACTCTCTTTGGGCGGTCTGTATCCAAGCATGGCCTGGGGTACACCACTCTTGTGTCCGACGGAGACAGCCGTACCTTCGCTGCCCTCACAGAAGAGAATGTGTACAGGCTAGTGCCAATTGTAAAAGAAGAATGTCTGAACCATGTTCAGAAAAGGATTGGAAGTGCTCTTCGAAACATTGTGCAGAAAAGTGATAAGCCACTGAGTGGGACGGGGAAGCTGACTAAAGCCCTCATTGAAAAGCTGACAGGATATTATGGTTGGGCCCTGAAACAATTCAACTGACCTAACAGCCATGCAGCGTGCAGTGATGGCAACATATCACCACGTCACATCGACTGACCAGGACCCTCACCATGAACTTTGCCCAGAGGGAGCTCAATCGTGGTGCCGCCATAGAGCTGCAGAGGCAAAGCGTGAGCCACAGCCAAAACATAAACACAGCCTACCGGACTATGTCGCTGCAGCTATGCTGCCCATCTACGAAAGACTGTCACAAAAGTAACTTCTTCAGCGCTGCCTGGGAGCGAAGACGCAAAATGCATCAGAATCCTTCCACTCCATTCTGTGGTCTCTGATGCCGAAGGAGCAACACTCATCCTTGATCGCGGTAGAAACAGCACTGCATGAAGCAGTGCTGCGCTACAATGCCGGCTGCTGCAAAGCAACCCAAGTGATATCGTACTCCATTGGACTTCAACCAGATCATCTGGCCATCCAGCGAGCTCGTGAAAAAGACGCTTTACGCCTAAAAAAGAATTCTAAAAGACACCAAGAGAAGATGGAGGCCAGGCAAAAGAAGAAAAGAGTGCGCCAGGACACTTCTAGCTACTGTGCTGGAGCTTTTTGAAGAAAACACGTGTTTTGAACTTTCTCGGCCTGTTTTCTCAGAACGGATTTTTTTGCTAGTTGTGGTGCCGAGGAAAGCAAGAACTCGAAAACCGTTCATCAGATTTGTGTGCCGTTTTTTTTATTCTGTTCCTGAATGACCTTGCAAGGGCGTAACAAGCTCCTTTTTTTGAAAATTGGTGCTGTTAATTTATAATAAACAATTAATTTTTGATGAATCTGGTCATTACTGGTTACATCAAATTGAAAGTTGCGTGAAAATTTGGGGGGGGGGGGGGGGAATTAAAAAAACTGCTTTGTAGTGCCCTGGGATAGCTATCAAGGAATGACCACAATGAATTTCAGCTTTCTACTATGTCCTGGGATTTCTCACGACTCTTCCTCAGGCACCCATGTGAAGCACCCAGTTAAACCTCAATAACTCTGGAACTAAGAAACACAGCTTCGTGAAACTTGGCAGTTGTGCTAGTTTTATTGTAGTGAACAACCCCTGAAAGTTTCCTCCAGATATCTTAAAAAACAAGTTCGGTCTCCAGGGTAGCCTCCCCGCTTAAGGGTGGACACCACACTTCAAATTTTTTTTCTATTTATGGGTGAATTTTGATCAAACCTCCATCTTTGACGTAGTTTGACATGCTGATTTCAAATATGCTATTACTTTTTCTGTGCAACAAGTACTTTTCAAAATATTGAGAAATACAAGTTTTTTGCATTGATTAATTTGTAAGTGAGCTTTCTCTTGAATGCTGGTAGTGATAAAAGACAGTGGCATATAAAAATGAATGCTCTAGAATAATTTAGGCCAAAGTTACAGCATGTCAAACTTTTGTAACCGAATGTTTTAGTAACACCCTTGAGAAATTGTTACTTTTTGAAAACATATCTCATGTTATTCAATCTAATTTTATGCCTACTGCACTCTACATTTGTCCACGTTTCTAACAAAACAAAAATCACTGTGATAGGATAGGTACCACAAGAGATATCGTCACTTCAAAACTACAGTGATAAAAACGCAGTTTTGAGAAAACGAGAAAAAACATTTCAGGACAACTTAGAAATAATTATGAACATCAATTGAACACTACAGTGATCGAGGATAATATACGTGTTCAATCAGGCAAGAATGAATATTTTACAACAATCTCAAATAAAATTAAGAATCTGAAAATTTATTTGTAAAACCCAACAATAATTTCAAAAAAATTCTTTTTGTAAATGTTCTTTAATAATATGTAACTATGTATTAGCCCTACTGCACTTGTCAATTCCCCACCTTTCTGACAAAAAAAAAATATTGAAACTGGTCAAGTAGAACTAGAGATATTGTTCCTCTAGTAAGACACCATCAGAAATGCCAGAAATTCCACAGCCCTCGCCGCGACAGCCCCATCGACGCGAAAATATCATTCATGAATGTGTGGCCCTTTCCACTACTGAGCATTGCATGCATAAATAAAATATTCCTCTCAAATGCATTGCACAACTTTTCACCAGCGACTCTGTGCGAATTCTATGCCATCGTCACTTCGGCACAACAGTCGCACTTGACTAGAGTAAAAGCTCGTTAATTCGGATTTCACGGGACCGGGAAAACTGTCCGAATTAACCGAATGCTGAATTAACGAATGAACCGGGAAAACAACATTTAAAATCAAGCTGCAGAAGCATACCTTTATTTGTTGAAGTATTTTGTAATTGTCGTCTGCGTTTTCGCGCAGATTCCGGCTGACATCACAATTTTTCTTAACTGTTCCAAATGGCCAACAGCACGCAAGCTGTCGGGAGTGTTCAGGCAAGCGTCCTCTATATTAACAGCGCCTCCGAGACTTCCCGTGAGGTGCGATGAGGTCGCGGCTGTATCTCCTCGCATGATTCTTCGTCGGGATCGTGGTCTTCATGGGCGCCCGTGACATCATTAATAATCTCTTGATTGGTCAGTAGACCACTCGCAGTTCTGCCGCTTTTTCGTTGTTGCCATCACTGTAGCGCACGATGGTGGTGGCATGCAAATACGGTCACAATGGAAGAAAAAGAGAACTCCGCAATAAGAGATGGTTCCGACACGACAACACAAGGGAAAATGGCGTCGGAGGCGCTGAGTGGAGAAGAAAGAAGACACCGACGTTCGGTGACGCTGCGATCGCACCCACTAGTTTATGGTAATGGCGATGCCACTGAGGTTTCGGTTTCACTCCAGTGGTGCCAGCGCTGCTTTATCACACTTTTGTGTAGCAGCAGCCGTCAGCATTTGTCCGAATTAAGCGGTGCGGAGCCGAATTCCGACGAAATAACGAAGGTTTGCACCCATAGATTAACATGCACTTTGGCCAAGACCAATAGAGCCGTCTGAATTATCCGAATTTCCGAATTAACGGGTGTCTAATTAACGAGATTTTACTGTATAATTTTCTTAGCGAGGCCGTAGTCGCGGTCACTCGTGACTAGTTTCGCACGCCAGCCGCATACTTTGCACCACGCTTTCTATCGAAGGGAATGAATGACCAGCCTATTCAGGATCTCCAAGTCGACCATCAAATACAAAGCTGCAGTGTCCGCGGCGGAGGCCGATATGAGGCGTCGCTTGCATTGGTGAAAACTGCACTCTTTCTCGATGTCGCGGATGTTGACTCAAGTCGTTCAGGCATGACCTGCTCACAAGCACTTACTTGGGCTATGTTGGTGCTCGTGACAGCTTCCGTGTGAACTGGCAGAAAACTAGAGTTGGCGCGAAGAATGCCGTCGTTCTCGGGCGGATCGGTGTCAGTTGCATCGTCGCGAGTCAGTTGCTTATCGCTTGTAAAGCCGGGCGACGGCTTGCCCTTATCTTGCGGACTGCTATTTTCTGCGCCGACGATATCCGATGTCCCGGCACCGCGAGTCACTTGCTCATCGGTTGCAGAGCAGCGCAATGCCGTGCCTTTGTGGAGAGGACCGCCAGTCACCTGCATCGCTGTTATCGGGTGCCGAAGCAACGACGCTCGCTTGCTGATCGCTTGCAGAAACCCGTGATGTGCCGTTGGCACGTTTTTTTCATTTTGGCTCGCCTTCGGCCAATCTGATATACCGAGTGGAACCTTCTCAATCCTCTAAGCACGTTTGTGCTAGGATTGTAACCTAACCCAAAATGGTGCCTCAACTAGCCAGGTTTTCAAATACAGCGCCCTACGCCATTCGGGTGATGCCATTTTAGCTACGTGATCGGCAGTGGCCAATGAGAATGTTTTATGCCTACTTTCTTTTTCCTTGTTATTTGAGAAAGGGCAAGCTCAATGTTACCCAACTTAGCGATAAAAAAAGCCAAACACGAGAGCTTTTCAAGATACCAAAATGGCCACACTAGAGCGGGCCGTTCAAGAGTTACAGGCTGCCGAAATAAGCGGGATTTGTCCACAATTTAAAGGGCTGGGGGCATGCCAACGCATCTTTGATTTACTGTTACGCTGCTAATACGCGGGACTTCGAAACGAAAACTTGCAAACAGGTGCGCGATTGCAGAAAGAATACGAAAATACCACTTTGGGAAATTCAATTTTGGGTCAAATTTTCGGGTCCCGAGAGCCGTGTCTCCCCTTAAACGGTGTTCGCGGGTGCCTGTGTGACAGGGGTAAAACTCTAGCTGCAGCCACAACGATCACTGGCGACAGTGCTAGGCTTCCTAGAGACGCAAGAGGAGCAACTGCAGTGAGAAACAGTTCAAAGAACAAATTGAAGATTGGAACACTGGTGGTGTGCGGCCTACCCGCAAGATAGAACACGTCCAGTAGAAAGCACATTAAGCCAGTTATACGAGACCTTTTCCTTTTTTGTGTGTTTTTGAGCAAGATATGTATTTTCTGTTAGATCACCCACTACAAAGAGCAGGGCAACAACGATCATCATCATCGTCATGCCAGAAATTGGGCAACATCTCTGGCACTCACATTGTCATCACTTACCGTCTAAACTCTGCATCAGCCAGCAATTCTTCAACCATAGTTTGCTTGCGGTCCTTCTTGGGCACCCTTGCATGGTAGAAATCGGCTGGCGAGTCCATTACCGTCCCAACCTAAATTTATGCACATGAAAGACAAGAAACTCTATGAACAATACATAATAACAACATCTGCCACTGCAAGTTTGTCATGAAAAATATTTTTTTTCCTGCATACTCTGGCCTTGCCACAAAGTCATTCCCAAATAACATTGAAATAGCACACAACTTGCACTACATTTGCGCTTCCTCCTGCGTTATGAAAATATTAACACATAGCCCTTTGTACGTACTAATTTTCTCCTACTTTCCAGGATTGCAACCGTGATTCCACATCTAATCCTCCTCTTCCCCTCCCCCGTAGGCCACAAATGGTGCTGGTGAATTTCAGGCTTACATTTTGTATACATATTGCATAAATTCCAAGGTGTAGAGAGAATAAGCAATTCCTATAGGACAATAAGACAAGTGCTAATGCAACACACATTTAACGCAATGTTTACAGGTTTTCCTTCCCCTGGCAACAAGTTATCTCATCTCAGTGGTGGGAATGCCTTCCAGCATTTTGAAGCAGCCATTGAAGCAGGCAAAATCTGCACTTGGAGCAGCCACCTCTGTGTTTGGAGCACACATCGGCTTTCCATGACACACTCAGAGGAACATTTAGGTTTAATTAAATTGAATTTTTTCTCAGTTTACATAATAATTTATACAATAGCAGCAAGCCCCCAAAATATGCACAAAAAATAACCAAAGTAGGATTATGTACAGAAACAGTGACCTAACATGGCGACATATTTTGCACCAACAAGCTAGCTGCAGCATGAAATTGATAATAGCACAAGTGTGCCAATTCACGTGCACGCACACACACATTCAAAGCTTGTTACGCTATAACCTCGTTGAAACGTAATAGCTGCCAGGAACGCAGCTAACTACGCACTGAACGTAAACGTAGTATGCATTAACCACCAAGTACATAAGCAGGCGCAGGGTTCCCCTCCCCTGCAAGGGGGGGGGGGGGGGTCAAAGGTTTTTCACAGCGCCACCCTCTCTATAATGTCAATGTATGGGGCTGGCCACTGCTTCTCCCCTTTCTATTATGTCAATGAATAAGGACGACTATGTGCCCCCCTGTCGCACCTCCTCTTTATTATATAAATGTAGGAGGATGATACTACACCCCCCTTGCCCTCCTTTCCCACATGTCAATGTATGGGGCTGACTTCGCACGCCCCTCCCTATTATGTCAATGCCTGAGGCTGATGTTGCTCCCCCTTCTCACTCCCCCTATCATGCCAATGTATGGGGCTGACTTTGTGCCCCCCTTTCGCCCCCCCCCCCCTTCGTGCGCTCGCCTATGAAGAAGAACCAATTTGCAGTTCCTTACGTGTACCATCACCAATGAAATAAGTGCACTGCCTTAGTAAATATTGCCTAAAGTACCCACCACAAAGCCACTAAAAAAATTTTTTTTTGCCAATGTTTAGAAACTATTGGCACTCTCGCACGACAATCCGATGGCACGCGGTGGCGACATAAAAGAGCATTTCGAAACTACTGTGGAGTCCGGCATACGCAGCCAATGAAGCGACTGACATAGCGACGAAACGAACATAATAATCGGCTCTTTGCAATAAATGTGTACCGTGATATACCACAAGCGAAAACTGACGACAGTTTTTTTGAGGTGCGGTACCGTCGCAGGCAGCCTATTGTTTACTGGCTAGTTGCATGCAGTGCTTCGCTTACTTGCACAAACACAGTGTTGAGCAGCTTGCTTCAGACCGTGCACAGATGCAGCGAGAAGCCTGAGTTGCAATAACGCGACGATGCGAGCTTTCTGCACGCGATGCTCTAGCGGTCCTGGCAGCAGAAGGAGGCACATTTGGGCTGTCGCCTCATGAAAGCGTGCGCTACGCTTGCTGTCTCGGTGCCCGCAATCCTCAACATTCGACTCCGCAACAGCGAGCTGCTTTCGTTTCTACGAGGCGGTGCATGCTGAACATGGTTCCGCACAATGATTGAGGCGGCAGCGATTGGCGCCTCAGCGCTCACAGGTAGCCACCGGCTATTAAAAGCGTGCAGTAGGCTTAAGGGGAGAGGTGGCGTAGAAAAAAAAACTGTTTTGCTTGATAACCTAGAGCAATGAAATTTGATATGCATACTAATAAGCGTCTTAAAGAAGGTAATATGCAGTTTCATTATCATACCTCGAGTAGTTCTGAAGTTACATCATGCTACATGGTTCGATTTTTATGGTCTGCTCGTGAAAAACCTAGCGCTGTAACAAAACATGCCAGAAAGCTCCAAATGGTGTTGATCGTTACTCAAAAGAAGACTATTGGGTATGAGAATCTCAAGATTTTTTTTATCAGTTCTCTCTTTTTGTTTTATAGAGATCACCATGGCTGCCTACACACATTGTCAGAAACAAAGTCATATACAAGTCATCTTCTAGAAAAAAATCTGGGCTAAAAATAACAGTTCAAAGATTGTCAGACCCTCAAGAAATGTTTTGAGATTCAAGAAAAACAACTTCATCAAAATCAGTCCAGTCGTTCCAGTGCTACATTTTCCACAAGCAATGCGCAATGTCAAAAACACACTTGTGAGAAAATGCCTGTAGAAGTTTTCGACAGGCTTTTTCTGGCAAACTTTCCTGTTTCTGGTTGGATATTGATGAAAATTGGCACAGACACTAAGAATGGCTTCACAGGCGATACCTGAATACTTGACGAGAGACAAATTATTTTTTCATTGAACCTCGTGAAGGGGCTGGAGGATTTATAAAATGACAAAAATAGTTGGTAATTACTGTATGCACCGCCAAATGTATGCTAAAGAGGGCTCTTGCATTTCCGAAATAATTTTTTAGCAACATTAAAACTTGTAGTTAACGTTTTCTTCAGCGACACTGCAATGAGCACACTTGAACTACAAACAAGAAGCCCTACAAAAAAATTATTTAGGAGGAAATATGAAAAACTAAGATGGCAGCCCCCTGAAGCACGGTTCAAGGAGCGTGAAAAAACAAACGAAATCAAAATCTGTGAAGTGGTTTCCAAGATATCTGCTCCACGTGCTGTGCATAATGCAGAAAAACACTATTGAGAAAACTGTGTTTAAAGTTTAAACTTCTCTTTTCGTCTCTAAAGTGCCTAAAAATTGTGACCTCGGGTTTGTGTTGCGCTATTTGACTTCTCAGGTATGTGGCCTGAGAAGTCAGTGTTTGTATACCTGGAAATACTTCGGCAGATCCTTGAGGTCATTTTTCTTGTAGAAGCGCTTGGGGTCGAGAACATGCCTCATGCGGAGAACCTCCAGATTATGCTTCAGCTCATCGGTCATCTCTGGTGCAGGCAAGCCAAACCAGCCAGGACCCTTTGTTTTGCTGCGCTCCTCCTGCAAGAGCAGAAATGAAGATTTGTTGTTGAAACTAAGTGAGAGAAAAGTAGCATTATGTTGTTTTCTTTTCTCCCAAATGTCCAGCTACATGAAAGGTGAATGATGTACAGTGGCTGCGAAACTCATGGGATACAACATGAAACTTCAACTTTACAAGAAGATATATTTTCAATGACGCATAAATGTTAACATGAGCTTCTTGCGCATAAAACGTTCTCACCGAAGTATGCAGATTGAGAAACATAAGACATTTTATTAGGTAGCAGCAAAATAGCCAGAGCTGGCGTCATCAACATTATTGTGACATGCCAACACGGAGCAATTATCTAATACAGAGCGACAATAAGGCAGAGGATTACGACATGCTCATAAAAGATAAGAGTGCTATGTGTGCTTCTTCAGCCCTCTGTTAGAGTGCAACCCAGTTTTTTTGCGCTTTCTTTTGCGTGGAACATGCGACTTTTGAGCCCTCTTTCCCTTTTGGGCATCCTTTTCGGGCTGCTCGCGCAAAGAGCAGTCTCCTGGATTGAAGCCCAGTGAGCAGTGATCTCTTGACAGCGCCCAACTCTTGCAGCCACCAGGAATTTGAAACGGCAGACTGCATCTGCAACTGCACTTTCCCACACTTCGAGAAGGGAGGCGAACTGGCTCTGGAATGGATGTGACCAAATGAGGCTGTTCATACTCCCCACAGCGTTCGGGGTTTTTCCCCTGCGCACACCTTCAAGGAGTCTTTGTTCGAGAGGCGCTTGTAGATTGGCAGCAGTGCTCACTCGCACGTGAGGGGGCAGTTAGTTGTGTGAGGCGGCAGCGGCCTCCCTTGGCCAATGCCTGATTGTGCGGGCACCAGGAGTCAGTCCCACTTGGGCACAGGTCGTGGTGTGGATCCTGGTCTGTGGATGTTACATGGTAATAAGTGGCCATGATGGCCCTCTCCATGCCAGGAACATCGTTGGGGTGGCTCTTAATGGCCCAGCCATAATAATTCGTCAACTTCTTTATAAGGCCCTGCGTCAGCCGGCCTTTGCCACCCATGCTCAGTCCTCGGCCTTTGGATTTGTGCTCATCAAGAAGGTTGCGCAAGGAAGTGCCCATTCTTTTTTTCACATGGTTCACACACTCCTGTTTCTTAATCAACATGTAGCCATACACCTTGTCTTGCGTGAGGGCAAGGTACGTACGGCTGTCACCGTCGCAGAGCACATTGATATATCGAAGCTTGTACTTGGTAAACGATCTTTCAAACATGATCCTCGCTGCTTCTACTTCCATTTGGCCTGCATTAGCATCGGTGTTCTTTTGGCACTGTGGCTTGTGTTTCTCAAGCCACTCCTCATAGTTGTCGTCACCAGGCTTGGGGCCAACAGCACAGCCTTGGCAGTAGTTGGACAGGACACAGTGGTCCAAGACCAAGCCTGTGTACAGCTCGATTACACAGCCCACGCCAATATGACTTCTGTGCCCCCTCGTCATCCACGTGCCGTCGTAAATGACGTCAATGTTGCCTGGCACTCCTCCTAGGTCCTTGTAAATGTCATGCACCTTCTGTGCACTTTCTGCTTCAATGCGGGTGGCAGCTGATGTGGTGGCAGGGTGGCTGTACTTCCTTTGCAGTCTCTGGTAGGACTTGTGGTGCAGTGCTCGATGCGAAATGTCCATCGCAGAAAAATGTCATTTATGGCAGATTGTTTTCTGCCAACTGACTGCACAGCCCCCAAAGCACGCACGTTTACCTCAAAGGGGTTCGTTTTTTGTTGCCGGAGCACCTCGGGGACGACCACGCACTGTTCACTATGCCACAATTGTCACAAAAAAGTTCCATCCTCGCCGCGAGTCCAAGGCAGTGCGTAGTCTCGAGGCGTATCGACCCTTCGTCGCACTTGTTGCACTTTACTGACGAAAGCAGACCGTTCAGCATCTTCTTATTTACAATGAAGAATGTGGAGTCCTTACCGCCGTCATTTTCGTCGCAGCCTTCGTTCAGAAGCTCGAGCTTTCCGCTTTGAAGCGGACTTCGATGCTACGGCATCCAAAACATCCCGCCTTGTCTGCGCCCGCTGCGCGATTTCTTCACTGCTCGGAATCTGGGCCGAAACTCGCGATAGAATGTTCGACGCGCGCACACCCGGAGTTGCAACGGCTGCCGACGCGGTGCCAGCGCAATCGGGTTCGCGAGAGCGTCCATCACGGTCGACGGCATCCGGCGGTCTGACATACGACGATTGTGGCACCTTCCACACTCTCGGCCTCACAACAATCAGCGAAGGGTCTGAGTAGAGGCTCCGTGACGCTTGAAGAGCATGCTCCGTCCGGAACTGCGACTGGGACGGCAGCCGCAGTCGTCTGCCCTTTGTTCCAAGCTTTCCGACGCTTGCCGTACTTGTGGACGCTCCGGAACTTTTTTTGCGACAACATAGCACCGCAGTATGAGCAAGCACTCAGAAGAGACCACCGATGTAAACAAAGCTTGGTAAAAAAAGCACGCGAACTATCACAAAAACGGCAAACTGGCAAAAAACGAAGCGCACGCCGGATGATTCTCGACACGGCGGCCGCAGATGCGCTCGCGCTTCCAAGGTTGCCAAGGTGCGCGGCGCAGCTTTGACCAGTAAGAGGTCGCGCCTGCTACCACGTGACCCGCGCAGCCAATTGCCGTTCTTCGTTTTCGTTTTTTTACTTGCTCCTCGCGCTTTTATTTTCACTCGGCGAAATACGAGACCGCGACCATCGGGAAGCCGGCTTTCTCCTCTTTCCAAAGCTACCAAATGGCGGCCCACGGTCAACAACTTGGCGCGTTTGTGCGGCGTGAACAACACCGTTTCAGGGGCTTTTTTTTCGCACTTTTCGGCGACTAGCCTCGGCAAAAACACTATTTGCGGGATTTGTAGCGCACGTTTCGCTGTAATATTTTAGAACAAGGAAGTTGAAGGTCTGAAGATTACGAAAAAAAATAAATCAGAAAATCGCATATTTTGACCAAAATCGGCACTTTACTTGCCGCGCCCCCCCTTAAGGGGAGAGGTGGCGTAGAAAAAAAAACTGTTTTGCATGATAACCTAGAGCAATGAAATTTGATATACATACTAATAAGCATCTTAAAGAGGGTAATATGCAATTTCATAATCATACCTCGAGTAGTTCTCAAGTTACATCATGCTACATGGTTCGATTTTTATGGTCTGCTCGTGAAAAACCTAGCGCTGTAACAAAACATGCCAGAAAGCTCCAAATGGTGTTGATTGTTACTCAAAAGAAGACTATTGGGTATGAAATTTCAGGATTTTTTTTTTATCAGTTCTCTCCTTTTTTTTTATAGAGATCACCATGGCTGCCTGCACATATTGTCAGAAACAAAGTCATATACAAGTCATCTTCTAGAAAAAAAGCTGGGCTATAAACAAGAGTTCAAAGATTGTCAGACCCTCAAGAAATGTTTTGAGATTCAAGAAAAACAACTTCATCAAAATCAGTCCAGTGCTACATTTTCCATAAGCAATGCGCAATGTCAAAAACACACTAGTGAGAAAATGCCCGTCGAAGTTTTCGACAGGCTTTTTCTGGCGAACTTTCCTGTTTCTGGTTGGACATTGATGAAAATTGGCACAGACACTAAGAATGGCTTCACAGGCGATACCTGAATACTTGATGAGAGACAAGTTATTTTTTCATTGAACCTCGTGGAGGGGCTGGAGGATTTATAAAATGACAAAAATAGTTGGTAATTACTGTATGCACAGCCAAATGTATGCTAAAGAGGGCTCCTGCATTTCCGAAATAATTTTTTAGCAAGATTAAAACTTGTAGTTAACGTTTTCTTCAGCAACACTGCAATGAGCACACTTGAACTACAAACAAGAAGCCCTACAAAAAATTATTTAGGAGGAAATATGAAAAACTAAGACAGCAGCCCCCTGAAGCACGGTTCAAGGAGCGTGAAAAAACAAACGAAATCAAAATCTGTGAAGTGGTTTCCAAGATATCTGCTTCACGTGCTGTGCATAATGCAAAAAAACACTATTGAGAAAACTGTGTTTAAAGTTTCAACTTCTCTTTTCGTCTCTAAAGCGCCTAAAAATTGTGATCTCTTGTTTGTCTTGCGCTATTTGACTTCTCAAGCATGTGGCCTGAGAAGTCAGTGTTTGTATACCTGGAAATACTTCGGCAGATCCTTGAGGTCATTTTTCTTGTAGAAGCGCTTGGGGTCGAGAACATGCCTCATGCGGAGAACCTCTAGATCATGCTTCAGCTCATCGGTCATCTCCGGCGCAGGCAAGCCAAACCAGCCAGGACCCTTTGTTTTGCTGCGCTCCTCCTGCAAGAGCAGAAATGAAGATTAGTTGTTGAAACTAAGTGAAAGAAAAGTAGCATTCTGTTGTTTTCTTTTCTCCCAAATGTCCAGCTACATGAAGGGTGAATGATGTACAGTGGCTGCGAAACTCATGGGATACAACATGAAACTTCAACTTTACAAGAAGATATATTTTCAATGACGCATAAATGTTAACATGAGCTTCTTGCGCGTAAAACGCTCTCATTGAAGTATGCAGATTGAGAAACATAAAAAATTTTATTAGGTAGCAGCCAAATAGCCAGAGCTGGCATCATCAACATTATTGTGACATGCCAACACGGAGCAATTATCTAATACAGAGCGACAATAAGGCAGAGGATTACGACATGCTCATAAAAGATAAGAGTGCTATGTGTGCTTCTTCAGACTGTGCTCATGTGTGATAGTCACAGTGATATCAAATAGCAGAAATTCAGTGACTCAATGTACTATCAGACAAGATAAAACATTATTCTTCTGGTACTGCAACTAAATCTCACTTGCAGAAGCAAGTATGTACTATTGTAAAATTAGTTAACCTATTTTGATGCTTTGAAAATAATTCAGGTTTGACAGCAGGCATTTAGAATCACAGCGAAGATAGCTTTTTTTTTAGATCAATTTAACAAGATACGCTCATAACTAGAAGAAAGTTCATGGTATCAATGAGTGAAGATAGGTTATAGTGCATAAGGCAGGCATAAACTGTGACTAGCAGCTTACCAAGATCCCTAAAAAAAAAAAAACAGCACAGTACAATTGAATTCTCCTACTTCTAACATGATAGGCCGCCAGCAACACATTGCAGCAGCAAAATGCCAGGCCAAAGTTTTTGTGTCAGTAACCCTTTGACATTCACAAACCTCGTGGCCCTACGTCATTTACCAGTATTGAGCCTTGGAAGCGAAGGTACGATCATCACTATGCACCATGCGCCGACAAGAGATGCAGGATTGGTGGACTTTAGGCCACTGTGTGGAGAGCATAACGTGGTGGTTGACATCATCATTCCAATTTAATCCAACGCACTGAAGAGTGTTGTGCCTGTTCTTTCAGAGTTGAGATGATGATGATGATGTTTGATGTTTTATGGCGCAAGGGCCATTTCACGGCCAAAAAGCGCCAGTTCATCTTACTAAAAACATGGACAATGATTGTGATAAGCGGCTGTATAAGGGCCATAAAATTCCTCGCGGTAAGGCGGGTAAAAAACATACAAGTAATAAAATCATGACCATGTCGTGAAAGGTGTGTGTGGTGTGAATAGATGACAAAAGTTGGTGATAATAAAAGACGATGGTGGATATGTATGGCATTAGCACAAGTGCCTCACTCGTTTATACCCTTGCGTCCAAGGGCCGTGAGGCAAGTGCTTTCTTGTGTAACCACCGCAGCAAAAACCTCTCTGGAGAGGTCATGCTACGGGATGCCCGGGTATATGATATGAAAACTATGAATTCCTTTAAAAAACGCTAACAATGATTTGTGATTAAAAAGCGGTTCCCTACCAACGAACATTGCAGGGTGTAAAGGTATATGTTGTCGGCAGGGTAATGGAAAGTGTTGTTTTCTTACAGTGTCCAATTGTTTGCACTCAATTAAAATGTGAAGGACTGTCAATACTTCACCACATCTGTCACACAATGGTGGATCGCCACCGGACAAAAGGTGTGTGTGTGTCGTGTATGTGTGTCCTATCCTGAGTCTCGTTAGTATTACCCCTGTATGACGCGATTTCGATACGGGCAGCCAATGACAAGGGTGTGTGATAACGTGTAGTTGTTTGTGTGTGTGTATCCCACTTGCTCTGCCAGTATACTCTGAGGTTTCGTTTGGTAGGTTTTTTAACATTTCATACATCACACGGTCAGAACCTGGGGCAGAAGTACTGCAGGAGTTTAGAGATGTTTGGAGCTCAGCTAGACTGAAAGCTGGTTATATGCCTCGTATCTAGTGGATTTGTGTTCGAGTTTTTGCTTTTCTATTCTTGTTCTGTATTTTTGGAAAGTGTCAGTATAGTGGCACGAGCTGGATACCTGTTCGAAGTGTGCACCGAGGAAGTTTGCCTGATCTTCCAAGGTATCACCCTGAGTGTTTACGAGGGGAAGTGTGTGTACTTGTTTTCCTGCTATCCTACCGACCATGTTCCAGACTTTAGCCTCCTGTGTGTATGAATTAACCCCTGATAAAAACTTCTGCCAGCTTTCTCTTCTGGCCTGCCGACGCGTTCTCCTGCCTTGAGACTTCATTTTCTTGAAGGTTTCAAGATTTTCGGCTGTCGGTGAGTTCCGAAGCAGCCTCCAAGCTCTGTTTTGTTGTTTGCGCGCGTTTCGGCATTCAGAGTTCCACCATGGCACATGTCGTTTTCCAGGGTGTCCATTTGTTTGTGGGATGCATTTTGTTGCAGCATCAATCAAAAACGCTGTGAAGTAGTTCACAGCAACATCAATGTTCAAAGTACAGATGTCATTCCAACCTAGACGAGCGATGGTATAAAACTGTTCCCAGTCGGCTCTGTTTGTTAGCCACTTGGGAACACGTGGTGGGCACTCGGTTACTGTAGTTGTGCTCAAAACTACGGGGAAGTGGTCACTTTCGTACAGATTACTGACGACATTCCACTGGAGTAGAGCCACAAGAGATGGAGATGCTATGCTTAGGTCTATGGAGGAGTAGGTGTTATTAGCGAGATTATAATAGGTTGGTTCTTTTCGATTCAGGAGACACGCGCTCGACGAGAGAAGGAACTGTTCGATCAGTCGACCTCGCGCGTCATACCGAGAATCACCCCATAGCCTGCTATGCGCATTAAAGTCTCCAAGGAGAACATAAGGCTCCGGAAGTTCATCAATTAGAGAGTGTAAATCACGTTTTTGTAGCTGATAGCTAGGAGGAATGTAAATAGTGCAGATTGTGATCAGTTTATCAAAAAGAACTGCTCGAACAGCCACTGCCTCAAGGGATGTTTGGAGTTGTATGTGTGTGCATGATATTCCTTGATTCACTATGATGGCAACACCTCCGGATGATGTCATGGCATCAACACGGTCCTTTCGGAAAATAACGTATTTACGAAGAAAGTTTGTGTGTTTTGAATTAAGGTGTGTTTCTTGTACACACAGCACTTTTGGTGAGTGTTCGTGTAAGAGTTCTTGGATGTCGTCAAGGTTTCTGAGAAGGCCCCTGACGTTCCATTGTATAATTTGAGTGTTCATGGTGAATGTAAAATAATACTGTGTGTACGAAAAGCGAGTGGCTGTTTAGACGGGGAGTTTGAGTTCACTTAACAGGGCCGTCACCAGGCCCTGTTATTTGCTTTTTTGTTTTCTTGGCGCGCTCCAAGGAGCCACGCCGCTCTTTCGGCACCAAGGGTGCCGACGTATCCATTGCCTCCTCGGAGGCACTGGATGCCCGCACGTGCGGGCTGTTAGTTCGGATTTTGGGCCTCGCCTGGTGAGGGGAGGCCTTGAGGCCCGAAGACTCTGGAGTCTCCGGTCTCTCTTCGGGAGTAGGCGGTGTAGCCTGGGCTACAGCCGCCTTGGGGGCAGGTGCCACAGCCGACGGCTCGCTCTGCGCGGGTCGAAGGGGTGGCGAGGGCTGGTGCGGCGGTGCCCCCTGACGCGCCGCATCAGCGTATGTAGGTCCATAGAATGGAGCGACTCTTCGCCGTGCTTCCTTAAACGTAATGTTCTCCTTCACCTTCAATGTAATTATTTATTTTTCTTTTTTCCAGTATGTGCAGGAGCATGAATATGCGGCATGGTTTCCTTCGCAGTTTACACAGTGTGGTGGTTGTTTGCAGTTCTCAGACACGTGGCCTAGGACTCCACATTGTGCACAAGTCTGGCGACCACGACAGGTTTTAGAGCCATGGCCATACTTCTGGCATTGAAAGCAACGACGAGGGTTTGGTATATACGGCCTGATAGATGTCTTTGTGTACCCTGTTTGAATGGAATCTGGTAGTTTACTGGATGCAAACGTGAGTATCAAGTGTTTCGTTGGTATTTCCTTATTGTCTCTTCTGATGATAATTCTCTGTACATTATTTACATTTTGGCTCTTCCACCCTTCCAAAGTTCAGTCTCGGTGAGCTCAAGTAAGTCTGCATCAGATACCACTCCGCGAGTGATGTTCATGGATCGGTGTGGTGTTACGGTGATCGGTACGTCACCAAACGTTGAGAGGCTGTTTAGCTTTACAAATTGTGCTTTGTCCCGAATTTCTAGAAGAAGGTCTCCGCTCGCCATTTTGGTTACTTTGTATCCAGCCCCGAGAGTTTCCGTAAGACACCTGGCAACTACGAAAGGAGATACGGTCCTGGCTTGCTTTCCGGTTTTTTCGCAGTGAATGACGTGGAAGTGGGGAAAAGTTTCTATTGGCTGGTTGAAGAGATTTATGTCGTCGGTTTGACCCGCTTTAGGCCGGTACGATCAGGTAGTAGAGGAAATGCGCCATGCATGCCGGTCTTATGTTTGTTCAGCAGCGTTGGCGGCCACCCACCACGGAGCCCAACAAGGGGACGCTGCAAGTTTACAGGTGCTGAAAGCATGCAGACGTCAGCCGTACAACACTGCCATAACCCAATGCGCCTAGACCAAGGTAGGCTATTTGCACAGGGTTAACCCTTGCCGCCAGGAAAATTGGAAGTAAACAGAAGAGAGTAGAAGACAGGACAGATAGATAGTGAGAGATAAAGACGAAGATATAGGCAGAGAGAGATAGGAAAAGGCGACTGCCGATTTCCCCTGGGTGGGTCAGCCCAGGGGTGCCGTCTACGTGAAGCCGGGGCCAAAGAGGTGTGTTGCCTCTGCCAGGGGGCCTTAAAGGTCCAATCACCCAGCGTCAGCTCAACCCCCAGGATCCCCTTTTCCCCGGACACGGCAAAGCCACGCACGGCTAGGCGTGGGAGGGAGTCGAAACTCCCCCGTTAGCTCGGGTCCGTGGTGTCGCTACACACCAAACGCCTACTTGCGCAGGCG